TCAGAGGCCTGGGCATGTTCTTCGCATGCCTACTCATCGCTTAACTCGCCGTGCCCACTTCGCGCACGCAGAAATCGGCTGGGAGCGAAAACAAGGTGGCTGACGTATGACTTGGGCCAAGAGCATAAAGGAGCTAAGGTCAAAGATAGTCGTGGTCGGGCGCTCTCGGCTCCCTGGCTGGAGTGCGAAGGATCCGGGACGCACATGGCTAGAAATACTCTCGGATATGGCAAGAAATCGGGCACAAAGGCGGACTTGTTGTGACTCCCCATTCACATGAACACCGGTCTTTTCCCCTCTATTTTCGTACGTTTATCGCATTTTACATACGTAGTGACACTTTGCCAATTGCACTATTGGCCGCGTTGAACATATATATATATATATATATATATATATATATATATATATATATATATATATATATATATATACGCCTATCAAAGCAAGGTGGGGGAGGGTAAAGAAGTGGTGGTTTAAAATTGGGGGGGATAAAAAGGAAGTTGGAACGGGAGAATACGGGTGAGAAAGTGTAAGAAGGAAGCGGAACACTATCTGTGAAGAAATCCGCACACAAAATGGAAACGTAGCGCAGAATAAGAGGAAAAATAAGCCATATGGACTAGATGAAGATGAATGGAATGGTTAAAAGTGGAGTCTATAGTGTAGAGAAAGCAAACCGAAAAATGGTAGGTGATTTCGTCCAAACGCAACCACGTCGAGATGCGCTGAGTGTTACTGGCTCTTGGTGCGCGTACTGAAGGGGAATACCGATTAAAGACAAGATATACAAATGGAGATGCAGAGGAGAGAACAAACTCACCACGATACATGCCAAGGAAGCCTTCGCGCTGAAAGGTCTTTCTCGCACAGTCCAGGCTGCAAATTGAGAACAATTGATCGATGACGCTATTGTATAGTGCAGCACAAAAGGCGAATCAGTGGTAAAACAGAAATTCTGGGTTACTTCGTTGTTGTGTCATGCCAGAAAAAATAGTAGAGCGCCAGTAAATGTTAGGAGTTCGGTGAGATCTACGAAAACAGATTGTAGTGGAAATACGCAGAAGTCAAATAGAGGATTTAAACCCTAATTGTGCGGCAAATGATTCAAAGTTGGAGTAGCCTTTTGCGTTCAAGTTACGTTCAGTGGTTAGCATAAAGGCAAACTGAGTGACTCGCCGATGTAGGCACCCAGGTGGAACGGCCACAAAGCTGAGGTGGGAGAGAGCATACCAAGGATAATCATAGAAGGATGTGTGTCATCAGCAATACGATAACACCTCGTACGACTGATGCATAGCTGCCAGGGGGCCATAACCAGTCGCGCGCGGGCTAGTGATAATGCCAAGTCGCCAGAACCCACGCAGGTTAGAGAACCAGGTGGTGCTATTTGGGCTACACTCCAGATGCGTGAATCACTTGGCCAGAGATTTTTATTGTATACAAGCAGGTGGGTAGGATAATTCAGGATCGGTGAAAGGTCATGAAACCTAGTGCGTTCGCTAAAAGAGAGCAGCATGAGAGAACTACATGCCCACACAGCAGAGTAGAACAACTGTGAAGAATACAACTCCGTGTAATACAGCCTAAATGTCTAAAAAAGCTAAAGCTCGTAGAGTTCAAGTAAACAAATATGATCCAATGCCAAAGTGCATCATCATGAGGATAGCAACAAAAAACAATGGTGGAAAAATGAGGCAGAATGTAGGCAAAATAAAGAGAAGATAGCTATAAGTGTAAAACTAACCGGGATAGGATACTAACAGTTAGATGCAAGAAAGTGAACACAGAAGCTACACAGACTGCACCATGGCCGAAAGAGTCTCCAAACAATGACGTGGACTATCTCGAGGTCCAAATACCCAAAAACCATGCACCAGCAGTGTCAAGTCTTGAGATTGATTTCACCATGCTCTTATGCCCCGTCATCAAATGGCTCCCGTGTGATTCCACCTAACTAGCTGCAACAACGGCACATAAGTCAAGTCGAAGAAAACGGGCAGCGAGCAGACAGAGAAGATGACAGAACAAACGTAAGCGATTCCACCCTTATAGGCACTTCAATGAGGCGAGGAGACAGGGCCTTAACCTGGTGACAGTTTACGTGACTCGAAGAGCAACTGAACTATGCTAGATAATGCTGTTTGCACCTTCAGAGTGAGTGAAATTAGATTAATAGTCGGAGTTCAGGCAAACTCGTAATCGTTCATGCTGTGGCGATACTGGGTGCAAAAGTGTGGCAGGTGCCGGTATCAGAGTTCCAGTCCTTTGGCGGCACATGCGCTGCATTGGGCTCAAATCGATATTAATTGAAGGATTGTCGCGATTCTCTAGTAGCATGAGGTACGGGTCTTCGTCCGTTGCTCTAGCCTTTGAGAACAGTTGCTTGGTCTGCTTCAGTGCTTACTCCGCCTTTCCATTCGATTGACCGTGATATGGGATGGTTTGCTGGTGCACGAATTCCCACTTGGTTGCGAAGACCTGGAACGCACCGCTAGTAAACTGGGGCCTATTGTCGGAGACCAGCTCCTCCAGTATACCGTGCCGCGTGAACTGACATTTGAGCATATTAACTACTGACTCTGTAGTCGCAGTCGTGAGTAGATCGATTTCAAAATAATCACTAAAGTAATCCACCGTGAGTAAGTAATCTTTCCTTTTATTACTGAATAAATCCATCGCCACCCTCTGCCACGGTCGATCAGGGACATCATGCAGTATCATTGGTTCCATCGTCTGCCGGATTTCGTGTGAACGGCATGTCTCACAATTCGATACACGATCATTTAGTTGACGCGGCATTCCTGGCCCAAAGCTCAATTCTCCTGCTCGGTTAATGGTATAGTTGGCACCAAGGTGAGCGCGATGAACGTATTTCAGCATATCGTCACGGAGCAATGAAGGAATCAAAATACGACTTCCCTTGAACAGCAAACCATCATAGTCAGAGAGTTTATCCCGAAAAGTGAAGTAGGTGTAAGTTCCTTCGGCAGCTGCTTCTTTGTTTCTGGTTACCCATTTGGAATAACGTCTCGCAAAGCTGCATGCGTTTTATCTTCCTCTGTGTGACACCTTATTTCCATTAGGCGATCTTCTGTCACCGCCAGGTGTTGTACTAAGTTTACCACTTCCACCTCCTTCCAGATTATGCTCAATACCGGCAGATGAGCTCTTGACAGCGTATCCGCGATGAACATCTGTGCAAGAGGCGTATACACAATATCCACTTCGTACTTTTGAAGCCGGATAAGCATACGCTAAAGGAAACGAGGAACGAAGTGCAGTGGTCTCCTGGCTATTGACACAAGCGGTTTGTGGTCGGCCTACAACGTTGTCTTTCTTCCGAAAATATAACCATTGAAACGCTCCATGGCATAGACGACCGCAAGCATCTCCTTCTCAATCTGCGCATAGCGCTGTTCGGTCACAGTGAGTTCTCGACTGCGGAAATCCAAAAGTTTTCCATTCTGTATGAGAACAGCACCAAATCCGTCTTGGCTACTGTCACACTGTATCTCCAAAGGCTGCGCCGGTTCGTAATACCGAATACAGGCGCGTTGCTGATGAGGTCTTAATGATTATTAATGCGGTTTTCTGTTCCTTTCCTCAAGTTCAATTTACTCCTTTGTTAGTTAACTTCCTGGGCGGTGTCATGATATCAGCGAGTCTTGACATAAAACGGCTTAAGTAATTCACCATACCGTTTAAGCGATGAATTCTACGTCATTAGAAGGCGGCGTCTCTAGAATTGACTTAATTTTTCCTGGATTGACCATTACCCCATGTGTTGTTAGCAAATGCCCATGAAAAATCACCGCGCCGATCCGAAATTCAGTTTCTTTTACGTTTAAGCGTATGTTCTTTTGCACACAACACTGTAAAAAAACGGTGGAGATTAGCGTCGTGCTCCTTTTCTACCGAACCATAGATCAAAACATCGTTTGCCACGCAGTTTACACCATCTAAATTTATACAGGATTATTGTAGAAAGAAAAAGAAACAATTTTGTCCATTTTCCCACTCAGTTTTTGAGACTTTTTTGGATTTTTTTATTGATGGATGGAAGGGGAATCACCGCAACAAGCAGAAATACACGTCCGCCACTGAGTTCGATATTGAGCCATGACTTCCAGGGTTTCTAATCAGCGGCACAGCATCTTTGGGATCCCATCCAGGGAGTCGAGTAGATCCAATCGAAACCAACCGTTTTGTAAGTTTTTTTCATTCTGCTTCTCCAAATTGTAGGCTGTCCACCACACCACCTCCTCCAGCCCTGGCCAGCGACCGCGAACAAGGCGCGATGCAGAAGACGCTGAAGGGGCATATGCAGTACGTGTCGGAGCTATCGTAGTTGGCGCAGCGACACAAGCGCCTCGAAGGAGTGGCTGTCCCCACCCAAGATATGCTGTCTGACTTCAGCGTTGGTTACGTGGTGCAGTCACCACACACGGGCGATGGACCGCAAGCCATGGTTTCGAATACAGACAGTCGGCGCAGGTCATCGGTACGAGCAGACGGTCTCGCAACCGACAACAGTACACCGCGGACGGTCGATCTATAAACTCGACCTCTGATGAAGAGACGAATGTCATGGGGGCGCCATAAATGCGTCAACCTAGATGAAGCGAGACGAGCACTTGAAATGCAAATCGAAATCTCGTTTCCAACAGTCTATGCATGAATTTGTCTATGGTGACCACCTGTTCAAGGCGATCACTTTTTGTCGGTTCACTGGATGGTCGCCTTAGACCGGTTTGACTGTATTAACACTGTGGTAGGTGTTAAAGGAACACCACATGTAAAACAGACCGATAATAGCTCTGTTCCTGGATTTCAAGAGTGGGTTCGACTCAGTCGATCGACCCATTCTGTTTGAGATACTAGTGCGGAAATATGTTCCCACGAAATATGTGAAGGTGCTACTTGTCCAACATCACAGGCCACAGAAGGGTCTTCGGTGATAGGTTGAATATCTTTCCGACAACACGTGGTAGTCGTCAGAATTGCCCAATTTCCCCATTTCCGTTCAACGTCCTGGATTCCATCATGGAGCGTTCCCCTGCAGAATCTTTTGAAGCAGGCGTTGAAGTGTTGGCTGGCGAAAGATTACTTGATCTTGATAATGCGGACGATGTCTTGCTGTTTAACGTTGGAGTGGCCCAAGTAACCCTGAATAACCCCGCTAGTGGTCCATTTATTTGGCATGGGCTTCGCACCTTAAAAGTGCAAAATGTGTTGCCGCAGAACCATCAGCCACTTGATGATCCCTTGACTCTAGACAAGGACGAACTCGGGGTAGTTGATCAATTCACCTACCATGGCGGCTGCGTCAGCAACGATGGGAGCATAACGACGGAAGTCGGTTCACGGACTGAAGAAGCCAGAACTGCCTTCCTGGATCTGGAACATCTATGACGTCAGAAAAATTTTTCTCTTGGTCTGAAAGGCTGCCTTTATAAGGCAACAATGAGGGCCGTCCTACACTATGGTAGTGAAAGTTGACCCATTGGATCTGAGAATCAGATCGCTGAGAATCGCCGCTGTCTGAGGAGCACTGCTGGTGTCGGATGGCAGTAGCGTGTCCGCAACGATCATGTAGGTAGGCGAATACTAAGCAGTGATAAACAAGCTAGTTTCTTGGATCAACAAATAGCACTGAATAAGTTGCGTTAACTTGGGCACGTATTATGTATGCTCCGTCACCGTTTACCGAGGGCCTATTTTGTCTGACAGATGTAGGATCGCACAAGGCTCAAGGTAGACAAAAGTTGAGTTGGCAGCGGGTAATGAAGTCACTGATGAGCAGCCTTCCAGGCTGGAGTCCATGTGTGCTAGACACAAGACTTACAGGACATGGCTTTCAGACAACACCAGTAGTG